AGAAAGGTGGCAACTATGTGCTCCTGAATTATTTATTATAAGACCATACCCCCAGCAGAGCTATTCAAAAAGTGTCTTCTTACGTCTGTAAGATATGGTGGCTGATTTGGTACATTGCGCGTTGCGTTGTCGGTATCGTTATCGCCTTTTCGTCTTGTCGCTAACGACAACACTACATAGCGCCAAACAGCGCATTGTCGCGCTCTCGTCTTGTCGTCCTGTCTCTAGTGAAGCACGCCAAACGGCGCGTGGACATGTGGCGTGATGTCGCCCTGTCGCTTGGCTTATAAGCAAATCCTTCGATTTGAACCGAGCGACAATGTGACATTGCGACAACACGCCGCACGACAACGCACCGTTTGGCGTACATCGTTAGCGACATGACGACAAGACGAAAGCCCGACAATGCGCCGTTTGGCGCTTTGTCGTGTTAGCGCTAGGGTGTTAACGCACAAAAGAATTCCAAATCAGCCATTATAGTAAGAAGACACTTTTAAATAACCGTTACTTAAATCCTCTTGCGAATCGAAATATAAAAATCTTCGCGATTAAACTTAATTTTCGCATGTTTTATTCGAGAACTGTAACTTATTTACAGTACCAGTGACTGTAGAGAAAGTCCACGAAAGAGAATGTTAAATCTCGCTTCTTATCTATTAAGAAGACCCAGTGCGCTGCTTGATAGTAAAACAAAAGCCTTAAGATTTTTCAATAAGGGCGATAGTTCTGTCAAAATTCACAATTACAATAGCTCTCCCTATTTTTTCGAATAGTTGAGCTAAATCAAGAGATTAAGTCAATCTTAACAGGCGATATTTTAACTGTCTCAAACAGGACACTATAGAAACCGATGGAAAGTAGTGCGCATCTCATGAGAAAGTCCAGTTTATCGTGAAATTGGATGGCCATTTCCAGGAACAAAGTAACTGTTGATTTTAGCATTGACGAAACTAACAGTTGTTCGTTGGAAGATGGTACACCACTTAGTTGGTTTTTTTTATATCGTCTGACATTCTATAAAAAAAAACATTAAAAGGACTCCACTGAGGTTTAAAAGCCTAAAATCATAACATTTGAATTTCTTACATAAATGAGCTGGGGCACTTTAGACAGAAATATATGCAAATATAGTTAAGAAATATAGTTAAGAAATATACTTTGAAATAATTGAAAATTGTATTAAATTGCTTTTCTTAGTCCGATTTGAGTGAAAAGCGTTTAAACGCTTTTCATTTTTTGTCATTTATTTACAATGTGAATAATTATTCTGGAAAAACGAAGTGCGCGAATGATCTGAAATTTTGCACAAAGATTAGAGGTCTAAACCTACACCAAATGGTACATTTACATGGAAAAAAAATTCAGTCAAACCTCAGTGGAGTCCCTTTAAAGTGACATTTACAATGTACTGTACCCACCGCCCCACACACATAAAAAACAACTGCCATAAACGGCGAGCATTGCGTTAGCGTTAAGGTAATCATGTGAATAAGAAAACTTACTAAATTTAGGGTCCAAAACGTAATCCATATAACATTGACGCAAAACAAGTTAGAGACGATTACATACTAGTAATCGATTTTAGTAAATTTGACATTCTGTTAATTGATGGCAGCCATTTTAACATTGTTTAACATGAATGAAAGTGAATTATGTCCGATTTACTAAGTGCACGAAAGTTCCGTGCGAATACAATTTACCTACACCTTTCACTGCCCAAAGCTTAAAGGCCATGCAAATAGTTTCTATAGCTTTATATTTTTAACGTGAACATACATAGATCTATTTGTAATCAAATGTATTTTCTATCTATAATTAAATGTGTTATTAATTTATCGGTTCTTTACAATTTAATGTCGTATAATTCAGATACAGTTACTCGTATTTTCTTCAAATTGTCTTCTTATGTCTGTAAGAAGACACTTTTGAAGGAAAACTCGTACTGTATCCATTACACATCTTTGTCGGCATGCTTGAGGGTTCGAGCTCACGCCTTGACAAGCGATGCCAGAATTCCAAGTCCGACGTTTCAGTCTAAAAGTCACGGGTTCGATTCCTTACTCTTCCAATGTATTTACTAAAATTCTTTTATTTAAACAATATTTTATTTACGAACATTTCATTTACATGATAACTGACAAATATTAAATTGCACGGATTGAGTAGAAAGCTTGAAAATCTTGTTTTTTAGAAACTCTCACCGTAAGCACTATCTCAAAGAGTATGTATGAAATGGTGACAATTAAATATCTATATTTGTGGTAAATATACATAACATTTTCACTAAAAACTTGCTTCTTTACATGTACAAAAATGTTAGCAATTTGCACTCTGGTTGTGTTAATCGAACCGATCTTAATAATAAAGTATCGACTCAAATTCTTTCGAATATGACCGTGGTCCCACGTGTTTTAGTTTTATAATATTTTATTGCATATTTTGTACATGATTAATTTACACAATCTAACATCATTATCTTAAGCATATTAAAATATAATGTACATACAAAAGGGTTGGACCAAAAGTTATACCAACATTATCTAGGGTCCTCCCCTGAAGGTCTATCTTGTTGGCTTAATGGTAACATAGTAAGTAAATGTGGTTTTTAGAAATTCTGAGATATTTATTTATATGATAAGCGATATTAATTTCATGTATTTTAACTTGGTAAAAAAGAATCGCTTAACCTAAAAAAAAAAACAAACAAAGAAAATTACAAAATGACTTTAAAAAAATATATGCCATTAACAATTTGCCACTATAATAAACGCACGTGTTTACGCCGGGCACACAAAAGAACCAGGTTTGCTTTTACTGGTTCAAAAATAATAAATATACATCTACAGGCCTCGCCCAGATGGGCAACAATAAATAAATACAAATAAGATTTTTCACCATAAGGTTAATCATCATGATGCGGTGCAAGTCTAGCGCTAATGTATACGGTGCCACAATTTTCGGTGCGGACCCATGATACGGTACCAAGAACTCGGTCAGTTGTCACACTTTTATGACTTTTTTAAGAAATTAAACAGCTTAAATTTGTGTGCAAGAGTCTGTGTATATATATCTTTGACGCTATCAGTTATATTAAATAAATACTTTGAGTGACAAAATAATTATCTCTTTTAGAAGTTTTCCAAATGCTCATTTTCCCCAAGCCAGCTCTAGTTGTTTTCATTAAAACAAAGAAATCGTAAAAGTCTTTGATAAAAACTAGCTAAAGACATAAGCTTCAATAATCATAATATTCCGTAGACACACTTTTATGAATACACTTACTTCAAAAATGTGACTTTCAGGCCGTTTTCCATCATGCATGTTATGTTTACGTGTTTGTTTTGTCTAAAATGATACGGTGCTGCGCGCAGGATGATAAATTTTCGACGGTACGCGGAAAAATGATGCGTATACCCTTGACACCGTGTTACTGTGTCATAAGACACACAAGAAGGCCCATTAGCAGTAGAGAGTTCAGTCATAAACTGATTAAAAGAGCAATCCAGTTTTGAGCGAGCTTTGATGTTAGCCCGTATTTCATTTTTTTGTCGACCCTTCTAGCAACCATTTTTACTACAGTGGTGAATGACAGCGTGTATTTAAATGGCAAATTGTATGTCTTAAACTAAGGTTTAACATGTACATTTAGAAACTGTTCTGTAGGTATCGAATTACCCTATACAGATATGTTTTGGTTTTTATCATGTCCCACGTGGATCACGAGAAAGCGGACAATAAGTAATTCCTTTCGAACCGCCCTTGTTTATCAGACTACAGAACAAAAATTATTACACACATCATGAATATTATTAACAGCTACATTGTTTAGTTTCGGTGAGTTAACCATACTCGTGGTCGAGTGATGTGCCGTTATGCTAAATTATTTGGTAGTAGACAATTTCTAAATTTGTAAAAAAGGTAAATGAAAAGAAGACAAAAATGTGGAGATATTTGTAATCAGTAGACAGTAGTTAATTAGGTACGAGTAGGATCAACATATTACGAGAAGTATCAACTAATGACAAATAAACCGTAATTCATATATTTCCCTTATGTGTGCCTCAACAGGAGGTAAGGGAGTGCTATCGAAAAGTTGCAGTTATCAACATAGCAAATAAAAAATGTATAGGTACCGTCTTAAAACACTCTGATATTAGATTTTTTTACAAAATAAATCAGAGTGTGTTCAGAAAGGTTGATAAAACTACTAAAGCAAAAAATCTCATTTTAGCTATTTGTAGTGATAATTGACTACGTTTTCACCTTAAGTTGTCTTATTGTTTGTTATTTATGAACTGATATGATTTATTCTTGTGCTACCAGGCAGACATATTAAATAACTTAGATGTGAAATTGACCCTTAATTGACATTGACCCTCAAAGGCAAATTAGTGAAATTCTGTTGTTTTCATGTAACTAGCTAGAACTTGGCTTTTTACATAGATTAATTTACTTAGACACACCATTTTTTAGATCAGGACCTTATGTATATCAAACTGAAATTGGTTTTGACTCATGTATGATCTTGACCTTAGAGGTCAAATTTTCACTGATTTCTGCTATTTTTGGTAATAAATTGCTAATCAATCAATGAGATATCTTCATTATTGGATAAAACTACCCCCTTCGCAAGACCTTAAAAAGGATTGATCTGACCTTGACCTAACAATGCTCTTGACCGTCAACTATTGAACTTTTTGTTAAGTCTCATATCTATATTATTTATTTAGGGAAATGATTTGTACGTTGACATAGCAACATTTGTGTCCAGACAGACTTGGGGAATAATTAAGATATGACATTTACAAGACCTTGACCCCCTTGGTCAGATAAATGAATTCTGCTAATATTTTTTTAACTTTGTTATTCATTTTGTACTTTGGCAAACAACAAGTGTGACTAAACAGACCTATCAAAATTGCTTAAACAAAGGAAACACTTTTTCTAAAAAACAATATTTTTTTTTATTTATTTCCATTTCTTTTAATAAAACGGGTCGTTAGAAAATAAATAACTTATAGGAACGCCTGGCGGGCGGGCGAGCGGCGTCAATTTTTGTCTGAAAAAATATCTCCTACACATATGGAGGGATTTTAATGAAACTTTACATAAATGTTCAACACTATAAGAAAACGTGCTTTCGGCATAAACAAGGGTTTTATGTAGAAGGTCAAGGTCATACTTAGAGGTCATTTGAAAATGCTTGTCCAGCCAAACCTTATATAGACATAGAGGGAGTTAAATTTATCTTGGCACAAATGTTCAACATTGAGAGGTGGAGTGTCACGCCCAAAATTCGGATCCCATCGGCTAAGGTCAAGGTCACATATAGGAGTTCAGGTTCATAAAAAAATCTGTACTGTATAGGGAACATTTACTGATTATTTATTAAGGGATTGTAACACAAATGATCTTTTTCATGACATATGAAAATAACATTACGATAATAGTGCCTTAGTGTGTCACACATCATTTATTTGTAGTTTTGTGACCTTGCATGCTGCTCCAATTCATCCAAAGCATATTTACAGTGTTTGCATTTTGTTTTCTTCATGCAACACTTATAATTGAGTACAACAACGTTCTTTAGATCTTGTATATTATCAATTACGTAGCTGTTTGGCTTTATTATATCCCCGTGTTCGCCTTTTTTATTACTTCCATATTCATTGATGATAACAACAACAGTTCGTTTGATATCCGAATCTGAAAAGGAAACATATCAGAGGTTACCATTCATAAAAAACTCTAAAATAATGATAACATCAACAGAACAAAGATCATAAACACTTGACAATAAGATTGAGAGGGTTAAGGGTGGAAAGAGGATGGGCAGGGCATGCCAATATCTATTGCAATTAACAAATCAATACTTTCACAATTAAACATGGAAATACTTCATCGCATATGCAAGATTATTAAAACTGCAATTTCGTTAACAAATATCGGTCATGCTCTTTATGATAACGACAGGTTTAAAATGACGTGTCTTGTTGATTGAGACAACGTAATTGTTGATACAATCATGACTGTATAGTTTCTGCTATTTGACAAACACTTGCGTGCGTCATCAACTGAAGTTTTCGAAAATAAATGAGTGCACGTACTTTTAATTAAGCAAATGATAGACTATTGAATCGCCAAAGAAATATTTGCATGTTACTTATATTTATGTTGCCAATTCATTCTTAATTGCAATCCGTTTGGAAAATATAATATTTATCATCTTAACTTATGCAATAAACTATAATATAAAAAACAAGTCTGTACGTGTATTGGTATACAATATTATTACAAATAGTTCTGTTTCAGTATTATACGTATTCTACACAAAAGCACAAACACATTTTTCATGATATATCTGTTTTATGTTTTTATAATTATTTATATTATACAAAATATATCTCTTGATATTGTTGTCGTAGTGTTTGTCAATTTACATGGCTTCCGCATACTTCAGAGGCATAATGACTTTAATTGATTTTACTAAAATGTTTAGATTTGTCTTCAAACGACAGTTGTTTTTATGTTACATCAAATAATGTTTGAACATTAGGGCTATGGTTATCATCAGTGTTGTGCAAAGATATAATTTCAAAAACGTTTCAAAGGAAGAGATTGGTTTTGCATACTAGTCAATTCCATACAGTTTTTGATGCACTGTTATGATAACCTTAAAAGTGTTTGTAATTTTCTGGTGTGTTTTCTTCTTTTTACTTTAAAGGTCTCCAAACATATTTCTAAATGAAAACTTGTTTGAAACAAACCTGAAATATGATTGCAACATCCTCCTATATCTGAGTCTATACGAATTGAACCGTGTCTGACTACAATGATTGTTGTCGATTCGTCGTCGAACTATTTCATTTAAAAATAAGAGTTTGGTATATGTGTAGAATTATACATTTTAACATATCTATTAAAGATAAATGTTACGTTAACATCAATCGCAACATAAATGTTACGTTAACATAAACTGCAACATTAAATTTTTTAAGAAATAACAATGATATTGAGATAATTGGCAATTTAAGGTGCTTTAGTTTAAAACATTAACACTAATGTGATTTATCGTGTTTTTTTTTTCAAAACAAACCTTATAATTCTCGTTTTCGTCAAATGTTGGCTCATTGTCAGAATGAAAGTACTTTGGTATCAGATCCATTCCTTTAAATATTTTTTCAATGCACTCTTTTAGTCTATCATCTTTTAGTAGGACATATACTAATGGCTTTTTTATTCTGAATAAATATAAAAATAAATATAAGATTAAATATAAGATCCGGTAACAAACTACCTATACGTATGCAAATATATTACCCTGCAAACTCTGAAAATTTCCTAAACTGTCGTCGTTACGTTGTTGAAACGACGAAAGAGGTAAAAAATATTAAAGCAAAAAAGAAGCCGGTTTAACCAGGTGATAGTCCCCGAAAAGGTTTTGGACACAAAGAAACTACTTATTGTCGATATATCTTGTACTTTTATAGTTATGTCCAAAATAAAGATCACAGTGTTAAAATGAAAACGGGCACTTACTTTAATATAAGGAAAGACAAAGTAACTGGTTTTTTTTATATAAATTCCACTTACTTCCACTACTTTATTGTTGATACCTCATGTAGTTTCAGAGTTTTGTCCCGGACGAAGTTCAAAATGTAAAATGAACAAAGAACAAAAAACCAAATTATTGCATGGCAGCGTTACGGTTCTTCTGCACTGCTCTTTTACTTTACCTTGTTGATACCCCCGGTACTTGCAGAGTTATATCCCGGACAAGAAAAGTAGATGGGCGGATAGACAAAGCGGCGACTTTATGCATTCTTTTCAGGGAGCAGAAAAAGGAAAGCATTTATCACTCATTTTAATAATTATTCCGAAATGTCGGTTTTTAAGAAATGAAACGTTTGTTAACTTAAAGAGTGAAATAGGAATAAATAAATAAGCGTTGTAAATTAAGGATATTCTTCAATCATCTTTGTCAAACATCATTTCGATACCTTTTATAATGTGTCTTGCTTTGTCCTTCAGGATTGTCTGTACCCTAAATGAATCATGGAAATAATATAAAAAAAACAATAATTATGCGCAAAGTACAAACCAATGATTTCAAACGTATTATTGATAACTTTGTGCCATCACTGATATATTTTGAAGCGGGTCTGGGAAAAAGTTAATCTTGATTTTACACAAATAATTGATTATTACATCAATGACTACACCATACGTGTACAATTATTTTCTAGAAGTATCTATAATTTATTGGATTTTTTATGTTACTTAACTAAGAGAAAACTATAAGTCCTTGAAAAAGGTTCGAAACGGCAAAATTAAAAATGTTGCAGGTTCATGGACGGTACCGTCAAGTGCAAGTTTCCGTCCATGCCTCCCTAGCATCGGCTTGAACAGAATTCAAAATTTAAACATAAAATGGTAAATTTGTGAATTTAGAAACATTCGCAGATGTGTTCATACGGCGGTTATCATAGAACCTTCGGTGTGATACTTCCATGCAATTCCATCAAAAGCGGCGTTTGGTCCACAAGTAATAGAACGCTTGTGCCCAAAATGAGAAAACAATAGGCGGAACTAAACAAAACAAAGAGGAATTTTGAATGCGGACCAGAAGTTATGAAGCCTGCATATCACAGATAAGTATTCAAAAGACAAAGTTAGACTCAAATGTTTTTTTGGTTGTTTCTTTTTTTTCAAACAAGATTTTAACAACTTAGTTCACCCGGGCACAGGAGAAATATTGCCCAAAGAGTCATGATTGATAACATTTTTTTAGAATATCAAGGCAATGCTACCTGTCAAATATCTAAATGTAGTTTCACCCAAATAATAATTAAATGTGTTTTCCCCTGTGTCCTTTTTGTTGGCCTATTGTTCAATCATTTATTTGTTGTTGTTTTTTAATTCTTTATCAGTTACAAATTATTTCCTATTATTCATTTTTTGTTTTCATTGAATTCCTTATCGGTTACAAATTATTTGTCGTTTTGTTGGTTGGCCTTTCCGTGCTCTGCCTTATGCCCTGTCCTGCTTTTGTTTTGGTTTCCCACTTGGCTCCTGCCGCTGGTTCTTGTTGCTGGGTCGTGTTTGGTTGCGTTCATTGAAAGCCGCCTTTCCTTGTTGATCTTGTTTATCCTGCACAAATATGTATTCACTTATACCTAGGGCGGGGAAAATATTGACCCAAGAGCAATGAATAATACAAGTAGTTTTCTTGTCACATAGAAATGTTACATGCCAAATTTCTAAGCTCTAGGAATCACAAATATACACATTACATCGAAGTTGTTGTTAGCTCACCTGACCGCAAAACGCTCAAGGGTGAGCTTTTGTGATCACTCTGCGTCCGTCGTGCGTCAGTGCGTCGTGCGACCTTCAAAATGGCACAAAACCCTTAAAACCACTCCTCCTTCATCAATGGGCCAATATTGTCATATTAAGCAGGAATATTCCTTGCATAAAACTCTTTAACAATTGTTCAATGATTTCCATTCCATGCTTAATTTTGGTTGCCATGTCAACAATTAGAAACTTTTTAAAATCTACTTGTAAAAAATCGAAAGAGCTTGAGCTTAGGTATTTGTCATGAAGTATCTTGCAGATGTATACCATTTTGTTCAAATAAAAGCCCTAGGGTCAAAATTGGCTTCGCCTGTGTCATTCTTTCTTTGATAATAGTGTAAAACTTCTTCTTGTGAATATCCAAAAGCGCTACAGTTTAGGTATTTGGCATGAAACATTTTCTAGTGGATGTCTACCAAGTTTGTTCAAACAAAAGCCCAAATAATGATAAACAAGATTAACAAGGTAAGGCGGCGTTCAATAAACGCAACCCCCACACGACCCAGCAAAAAGAACCAGCAGGAGGATCCCAAACCCAGCCCAGGGGTTTTCGTTATTTATAGATAGTCAAAACTATATGCATTCAATTCTTGCTTAATAATCTCCTTTAATAAGATAGAGTAAAATTTTGCATTCATAAGAAAATAAAAAAAGATTTGTTTGGTTATCATTTTTTAATTTATGGTTAAACACGATATGAAGAATATATTCATCTAATAAATCAATTAATCCTCCTTAACCAATCATCTTACAATAAACTATATATAGCAAGAAAATCTCACTGCAAATGAAAATACAATAATTTACTGTGGTGTATGCAGGAATACACATCAGTTATTGCAAAGCTCTAGTTACCTGTAAGTTGTAGTTATCCTTTTATTATCTACATTGTGTTACTTCTGTAAATGTAATTGCAACTGCAGTAACGTCCTATTTTGTTAAGACCATGAAACACAACTTTTTTATGGTTTTATAAGCTCACGAGAAATGTGTCTGTAGCATTCTTAGGTAGTCTTTTATCAAGTTTGCTCATATTAATTTGATTTGCCTCGTTTAAGCTTTAGCTTAAATGCCCCAGGTCATGGCATTTCTTCAACTTTTTGTTAAAAAATATTCTATACTCAAATTTAATATTAGAAAATGTTGACAATGGATAATTTCCATCACTGAAAAGCAGCTGTTTCTGGTGAGCGACTCAGTGCCATCATTGCCCCCTTTCATCATAAATTTTATGCTCATATGACCTCCTCTGTGGACCTCTACAATTTTACCTCAGGTCACAATGGCCCTGCACTGGGGAACATTGATTTTCCCTTTGTGTATATGGTATAAACTTTTTTAAAAATCTCTAAATAAACAGAAGATAAAAATAAGTTTCCATATCATCCATTGACTTCATAGTAGCCTTCCATAGCAAGCATTATCTTATCTATCATTGAATTTCACAGCAGGCACTGACTCCGAAGGAAACTATTTATTTTGTAAAGCAACCAGTGCCTTCTTATGTAACTGCTGTTTAAGATTTTCAAAAGCAACAAGTAATGGTTTAACATGTGCACTATTTGTCTATTTCAGATAAAAATATGAACTTTGTGATATTAGATTGTACTTCTGCTTTTATTCATAGTTTACTTGTTCCTTGTCATGATGAGAATTTATATTCAGGTGAGCAAGATAAAGGCCGTCATGGCCCTCTTGTTTCCAACAAAGTCTATATAAATCAAGGCGACCTTTGCGCAGTTTTGACCTTTCTCAGATCAATTTAAAGGTCACACTTTATCTTTTTGGTATCAAATTTAATTTTTTGTGTCCACTGTGTATCTTTTGAACAGAGAGAAAGAAATTAAAAAATTTTGGCAGAAATATAGTTTAAAATGTGCCACGGGTTTTGCCTTCTTCCGATCGAAATGTGCCCCTTCTAGGGGATTAATGGACCTAAACAGACTTTTAGAAGAGTCCGATCTGTATCTTTCGAACCAGTGGAAGGAAAGTTAAACAATTTGGCTGCAATATTAAACATAATAAGACGAATTGTAGAGTGCAGATTTGAAACTCCTCAGGTCAATTGTGATAAACATGATCGACAAGGAAAGGCGGCGTTCAATGAACGCAGCCCCAACCCGGCCCTGCAACAAGAGTCATCGGCAAGGAGCCCAGGAGGACCCCAAAGAAAAATAGGACAGGGCACAAGGCAGAGCACGGACAGGCAAATAATTAGTAACTGATTAGGAACTAAAAGAAAACAAATAAATGATTAAATATTAGGCCCATAAAGTCAAAGTTCTGGAAACAAAGTGAAACTAAGTCATTTTGTATAAATTTTAAAGTTGTGTGTTATCTCCGATTTTAGGAAATTAAATATATTTTGAAGAAATATTGATATTATGGAGACAATGTGCATAGCGCAGGTTTGGGCTTTTTGGGTCAAGCTAAAGGTCACAGTGACTCATTTAAAATACTTATATAAGTGTATATATTTTAAAGGGTGATTACAATGTACAAATTTATTTACATGTTTCCTGTTCATATATATTGATATGTATGTTACGTCAATTTATTCCCCAAAGTCTATCATTTATAGTGTTTTTTATCAACCTTTATATATTTAGATTTTTTCTGTTAAGATTATAATTATTGAGGAGATCTTTTGTTTGTGTCATTTAATTATTTTAAAGACATTCTGATTAGTTAAAAGTGATGTTATTTAATATATATATAGTTACGTTAATTCACTGAATAACAATAAGTTGTAAATGATACATGTAGACTGTTACAATTTGAAGGCAATTAATCAAAAGTTCTGACATGAATGATGCCTTGAGTACTGCCGGTTATTAATTCACAATGCTACCTCTGTTTTCAACAATTTGTTGACAGTTTTGCTCTAATTGAAAGAGTGATATTGGTAAAAGGGCTGATATAAAGTTTCTGCGCCTGTTTTATCATACATATAAATGTTCAAAGGAAGACGAATTAATATAATAAGGTGCAGAAAGTGCAGAAAATCCTCACTGCATTTCGGAATATTTGAATATTTTATGTCTTTAAATAAACGGTGGTATTAAGAACACAGTTTCATATCCCCAGAGTTAAAAATAAGATATTTTGCAAGAAGCATTGCCTTGTTGACCTGTAAAAAGTTATATAAATCATGCTCCTGTGGGTTAATATTGGCCCTTTCCCAGGGGTCACATATATTAGAAAGTTTATATTCATGTATTTCTTGTGTAAAGCTACAAAGTCCAGATCTAACTTAGTTTGCATGTATAGAAGAACTCTGCAAAAATTCCGAACATCATTTCACTGATATTAAAAAATGGCTTGGTTTAGAGGAGTGTAGGTCTCATACTATTTTTACATGTACACATAGTATAATTGTCTTAAAAGTCTTATCCTCCAACGTACAATGTATATAGATTTTTAGCTCACCTGAGCTAGCTCATGGTGAACTTTTAGGATCGATGAATGTCCGTCTACACTTGTTCGATAACATTCTAGCAGTCACATTTCTGCCTCAATCATCATCAAACTTTGTCAGGATGCTTTACTAGGTAATTGCTCAATTGAGTTCGAACATGGGTCATTTCGGATGAAAAACTAGGTCACAGGAGTATAAAATAGAAAAACTTTGTTAACACTCTAGTGGTCACATTTTTTACTCGATCATCATCAAATTTGGTCAGGAAG